AGCCATCATTGTTGTTTGGTGGGCTGGGCTGGGGATTCGAACCCGCCACCTTAGGTGTATGTGGCTGGCGCCTTAGCCGCTTGAGCCATAGGCGCCAAGCCCAAATGACTTATTTCTTACAGAAACAGCATGTAGATAAAATTGTAAAATTTCTTAGAAACACATACATCACTGTCTATGTTTGAAGGTAATTTTTGGAAGCTTTTTTTTTTTTTTTTTTTTGGTCACCCTGGGTCAAGTGCACTGTCATCATAGCTAACAACAAACTCAAACTCCCAGGCTCAAGCCATAGCCTCCTGCTTCAGACTCCCAAGTAGCTGGACTAGAGCTAAATGTTTCTCTATTTTTAGTAAAGATGGTGTCTCACTCTTGCTCAGGCTGGTCTTGAACTCCTGAGCTCAAACCATCCTGTCGTCTCAACCTCCTGGGTTGCTAGGATTACAAGTTTGAGCTACTACGTACAGCCAAATTTTGGAAACTTTAAGGTTCACTTCCTGATTTCCTCCACTTAGTATCTGAGAGATTGAATCCTATAAATTTCATTTCCTAGAGCCACGTACATTCTGGCTGCACGTTAAATTCTGCCAGTGGGAAGTGACAGCAGGAGATCCAGCGGTAGGGAGACGCCAGGGCGTTTCTCCTTTCTCAGCATGGAGAGAGCCTCTGCCAGTGATTCCTCTATGGATGAGCCTCCCTTGGAAAGCTGCTCCCTCTGTGGTCACAGCCCCTGTGGGTGGCTCCTCTAACACCCACCTCCTCTTTCCTCTGATTCCCTAGACTGGCAGGTGATAACTGGATTATCTCAATGTGCCTTCAGCCTGTCCAACCACGGCAATGAATTTCCCTCCACTGAACTACTCAGCATGGGTTTCGCCTTCCCAAGCACATACTGGGTGCTGAGTCATCCAGGGGCTACTGGTCTCTAGAGAACAACCATGTCTAGGGGTATGCAGACTCCCGGCTCATTTCTTCCTTAGTGGCAGGGAGTGTCTCTCAGTGGTCCATTCGTACCACTTGTGCTAGGTGTGTGTCGGGGTGGAAGGAACCTTGGACGGACAACTAGAGAACTAGAAACTCTCTGTGTGCTCTTGGGACCTTTGCCAAGTGCCTTAGAGCCACATGACTTGTGTTTATTCACGTTGCAGGAGTAAGCGTTCATCCGGATACTGATTGCCTGTTGGGCTTAAAGAGGGAAAGCATGGAAACATGATTTGAAATCGAAATGGCCACTGCAAATCTCAGTGTAAAGCTATAATTGTACAGGACACAGCCGACTTTCACAAAACAGAAAAGGTTTTGCTCTTGGCTTAGTCCAGCTTTCATTTCTCAGGCTGATATGTGCTTCACGTCCTAACACACGAAAACTGCATCAGCCGTGCCTGGCGCACTGGGCAGAGAGCCATGTGGCTGCTAGGTCCGGTTACCACACTGGGCTCCCCTTGGCGCAGAGGCGCAATGTCAGTTTATCAAGGACTATGCAGGGAGGTCAAGGTCAACTTACCAATGTCAAGGACCCTCTGCTTCGCTGTATGCTGCCGAGAGTGCCAGTACTTCCAGTACTTAAGCTGTTCTTCACGGTTTTTGTCTTCACTGAAGACCACCATCACCACGCTCTGCAGAGGGGAGAATTGAGCCACTTACTTTCTGCTCAGGGCCTCTGCTGCCTCCGTCTCCAGATTCTAGGAGAGGCGTCTTTCTGTACTATTGCTTTTCTGGTGTTAGAAAAGCCCAGACTTTTATGGTCTGTTCTGTCTTAAAATGAACCTACGTACAAAATGATTAGGAAATGAAAATAACACAGAAAAACAAAAAAGGATCCTTTATCAGTTTTACCAGGAGGTCATGAACAGCGAGATTAACCAATTACCCGCAAACTGTTTATTTTGTGAGGTCAGTAGGAACACCCAAAATATTTTTTTTTCTTATGTTGAAAACAAGCACACTTTTGAAATTTCGTATTCTTAAATATAGAATTCGATGCCCCTGGCAAATACAGCAGAATTTGGCAAACATTCATTTCTGGCCTATTTAAGTGCTTCAGGTTGGAATACTGGGAAGGAAGGAAATAAAGGAAGGAGGGAAATAAGGAAAAGAGGGAAATACTAAGTGACAAATTGATATTGGTAAACACAGATCCAAACTAGAAATCTTTCATGCACCAAAAAATATAAGAACTATGATATCTATTTAAATACAACGTGGATGTACTTTGAAAAGGAGCTTGGGAAACTAATTATATCTTACAGAAATAAGAATCCCAAATCCTTTTCAGTTCTAAATTACAAATAGCCTCATTAAACTAAATATACAGCCTGGGCTAGGTGGCTCAAAGCTATAATCCCAGCACTTTGGGAGGCCAACACAGGGAGATTGCTTGACGTCAAGAGTTTGAGACCAGCCTGGGCAACACAGTGAGACCCTCATCTACACACAAAATAACTTAAAAAAATTAGTTAGGGGTATTGGTGCATCTATACCCCAGGTACTTGGAAGGCTGAGGCAGGAGGATCATCTGAGGCCAGGAGTTTGAGGCTACAGTAAGCTCTGATCACACGCCACTGCACTGTAACCTGAGTGAGAAAGTGAGACCCAGTCTCAAAACAACAACAACAACAACAAAAGTCTAAAACCAAGTATACCTGCTCGTTTGCAGATAGGCATATATGGTGTATTTGATTTAAGACTTTTGTTGTTGTTGTTGTTGTTTTGAGACCAGGTCTCACTTTCTCACCCAGGTTACAGAGCAGTGGTGTGTGATCAGAGCTGACTATTAAGAAATGAATATAATTGTGATGGATGTGTTACTTAGTTCAATGTAAACATTTCACATTGTATATCGAAGCAGTACCCTGAACCCCATAAATGCATCAATGTACAAAGTTATGATTTAATAAAAATAAATAAATAGATACACATTAATTCACTGTCATTTATGAAATGGAGATAGTACCAAAAAATACCCCGCCCAAAACACTTTAATTACAGCATCAGAATATTCCTCCTCTTACTCCACATCCAAAATACTTCTTAGACACTTTTCCACTATTCCAGGAGAGTATTTCATGGACTCCCATTCCTTAAGAACTTCTCCTTTGGAGAGAGGTTTACACATTTGCAGTTGTTTACTTAATTATTTACAACTATTCACCTGCTGGCACTGTTTTCCCATTAACTTCAGACTCAACAAGGACTGAGTCATTGTCTGCAGCTCACCTTGGTGACAAGTAAGACAGCAAATGCATGCTGGTGGCTGACTGTCAGTTCAAACTCTGGCTGGTTCCTAACATATGCGTGGACGTTTTTTAAACAAACAAGTAGATGTTTATTAGAAAGACTGCTTTAGAAATATGCATCCATATGATTCCCCTCCATCTTGAAAGGCATGGACAGTGGCAACAAGGGAGCCATCATTATGCTGGGGCAGCCATCAGCTCAGCCAGCTCTTCATTCTTCCCTCTGGGCTTCCTCAAACTTTTCCATCTATCTGTAAAAGCCACTGTGTGGCTTTCTGGTATTTATTTCTATCCCCAAATAAAAATAACATCTAAATTAAATTTTTTTTTCTAGCAACTGACTAAATTAGCATAAACAGTGACATATTCTTGGTATGGAAATTTATTTCTTCAGTGATAAAGAAAAAATGAGTTTGAAGCTATTATTACCACGACGTACATGCTTCACATGGAAATTACACACTGTTCTCAGAAATAAATGCTGGTATGTTACAAGGGCACCCCTCCTTCCTCCAGGCTTGCTGTCCCAGAGCCGAGGAGTAAGAAAGATCCACTCTGAAAGGCACCAAACTTAGTCTCTAAGGATGTTAGGTTAAAGTCCTTAAGAAAAGTAGGACTCCTCCTTAGCCAAAATGTAACATAATAAAATCTTCACATTCAATTATTTTCATGATTCCAACAAAGTGGATTCTTGTATCCAAACTGTTGTCATGACTGTAGAATTAACCACACATCATTTTTTAGGGTGATGGTGATGATGGTGTTAGGAGGATGCACATAAGTTACATTCTTTTCTTGAAATTTATAAGACTTTTTATAAGAGCAAATTGATTCAATGTCTTCTTACTATGCACCCACATATTAGGGATAGGGCATAACTGTGGGACATAGATCCCGAGGGCGACCCCTCTTACCTGCTACCTGCGTGTGAGTGGGTAGGTTGTAATTCCAGGACACATATCCGGAGGCGGACCCTAAGCTTTTCAACACAACACAGCATCATGGTTTAGGAGAGTTGGGCTCAGGAGTCTGAGGGTCTGGGATAAATCTTGGTTCTGTTACATGTTAGCTAGGTGAACTAGGTAACATGAAAGCTCAAGTTTCCTTCTCTGTAATATTATTTTTTTTTAAATAGTGCCTTTTTCATAAGGTTGTAGTTAGTTTCAGCAAGTTCCTAGATGGATGGTGTCTAACGTGGTGCTTGGCACACAGAAGATCTCAGTAAGTATCAGTTATTGTGTTGTAACTCTTGTTGTTGAGAACGCCTGTTCTCCACCACAGTCCTGACTACAATGTTGGGACATACTAATTCTCTTAGTGAGCACACAGCACACTGAAACCTTACCCCCTGCAGTAGGCTCAACCCACCTGTGCTGGGGGCCCACTGGGGCACCCCACGGAAGAGCAAGCTGCAGCTAAAATAAGGCAGGCTGGGCACCAAGGACACAGCAGTGTAAATCATTTTGTGACAGACCAGGAAAGTCCTTCAACCTCTTTTCAGAGCTCTGCTATCATTTTCTTTTTCAGCAGAGAGGGATTACCAGCTTCCTCTCTTCTTGACAGGAGCTGGAATGCCAGAAGCTGGCAGGCTTCCAGAGCAGTGAGCTAGGGCTCCAGTTTCACTTCCCACGAATAACTAATATTCATGAATCTGAAAACTCCTCCAGCCTACTCCTGGCGGGGATCATGCCTCATCCCCTGGACCCTGAGAAGGCATGGGGCTGCAGAAGGTTTTTTAACTAAGCTACAAAGGGCCCAGGGACTCAGTGAATTGCCTTCCCCTTTATAGAATAGAACAACAGCTCTTTCTCACCCACAGATAGGGTCTGACTTACAGCTACTTGCTTGAAAAATTACAATCAATTGATTAAAAACAACAGCTAAGTAGCATATAGGCAGTGAATGAAGCAGGGAAATTCCTTAGACACAGTTAGAAAGCACATTCCAACCATGTCCCTTCCCTGGGGTTTCCTGGTTACTAATTAAAATGATAAACTACTTGCCCCAACTCTCTGACATTTGTTTTAGAATTAAAAATTCTAAATTTTTAATTTTGGAATTTTTAGCCACGCCATTCCACTCATTTCATCCCTCTCCACTGTATCTGAGAAACGGGGCCCATACCCTGACTTTGCTGATGGGGTGTCGGAAGCATTTGTTGTCTCCGGTCTCGCTGAGTGTTATAGCATAGAACTGTCCTTTGTTGAGGTAGGTCATGGGGCCCTCGCCCTGCTTCTGACGGAGAGATTTGGTGGCTTCCAGGGTGTACTGAAATGTGCCACTGTGAACAGAGAACAAACACTGTCAGGTTAGCTCACTTGGACATGTCTGCCTTCCTCACTAATTTCATATCAGGAGCATTTTGTAGGATTATCACCTAACAGTTACTCTATTATAGAGTCAAAACACTGCATATGGCAAAAGAGATGGGACCAGACCAAAGGTCATTGCTAGTACAATATATACAACATTTCTAATAGTAGCCCATAAACCAGATGGTTTAGAAGGGGAGAAAGTCCATGCTGAGCCTGGCCAGTCATGTAAGTTTGCATCAGGATAAACCCTAGCAGATCTCAGCTGACAATTAGGTAGCACCTGAAGCTTAAGAATTGACAGAATTTGCCGCGTTTATGCTAACAACAAACCAAATGTCTGAACGTTTTTCTTTACTTCATGTATATACCCAAGCTTCTTTTTGTCTAACCAAGACGTTGCAAATAGCAATATTCCACTTTAAAACATTTCAAAATGTGAAATCTAAAACTCAAACAGTCACCACTAACAATCTCCTTCCTTAGTAGGGAGAGAGGTTTTTTGGTTGGTTTGTTTGTTATTGTTTTTTTGGTTTTTGTTTCTTGTTTTTAAACATGCACAACAATTCATGACAAGGTTGCTCTAAATCAGGGGTTTGGAAATGATGGTCTATGGGCCAAATCCAACTCACTGCCTATTTTTGTAAATAAAGTTTTATTAGAACACAGCCATACTCATTTGTTTGTGTATTATCTGTAATTGCTTTCACATTACAACTGCAGGGTTGAGAAGCTGTGACAGAGACTGTCGTCCAGAGAATCTAAAATTTTTACTACCAAGCTCATTACAGAAAAAGTTTACAGATCCCTGCTTTAAATAGTTTCCTAATATTTTGTAAATACTACATAATTTACAAAGCAAAAATTTTTTTCCAACTTTGAAAAATACACAAGTGAAACAAACATAAAAGGTAGGAATCAAAATCTTTTTAAACATGTTCTTTCAGAAATATTTATTTCTGCTGCACTGCACCATGGTACACAGTGATGATCCCAAAACAAGCAGCTTAGGTATTTTCTGAATTATCAGAACCTCTCCATTGGCTCTATTATTTTAGCTCTTTCATTTCATAGTATTTGAAAGGGTGCAAAGACTTCTCAAATTTTGTCTCTCAAAATGGCCTCCTTACAGGATTACGGGGGCCTTGTGCTTACCACAGTAAATATTTCTATCATGTTTTATTTATTTTTTAACTTTGACAATGAGAAAAAATTTCGAAGGGAAAAATAATATTGTTCTTATATGATAAACATCTCAGGCTGAAGCTACTAAACTAAGCAAATTCCAGATATGTGTCTTAGAACAAGAAGGGAAATAAATCATTCCAGACAGAACTGATTACATTGTCATTTTGCTTGAAAAATCAATTTCACTACACTATCATTAAATCATAACATTTTAGACTGGAACAGGATATTAGCAATCACCTCAACCAATAGCTTGCACCTTGTGTAAGGTGAAGACAGCTTTAAAATTGTGAAGAAAGCTGTGAACCCTCTCCCTAGAAAAAGGCAGATATGAATATAAACAATTTTTTATATAATTTGAAGGATTAATGTCCCCCAAGCCTGTCCATGATACAAGATAAGTACCCGGGATTCAGTCCCTCTTCCTCACTCGACAGCTGAGGACAGGCTTAGAGACATGCTTCCTCTGTGGGACATTGGCAGCCGTGGAACCAGGTGGAGTGGCTGGTAGGTCACTCTCTTGCCACTGGCCTGACAGCTGATGACACAGTATGCTGCATTGACAGCATGCAAATTATATATGTATTTCCACATTTTAGAAGGGATTTGGAATTCTGTCTTTGCCACCTCCCCCAACTCCTGCAACACACACCAAATTGTAATTAGGATGAACAGGGGAGGATGACGGGGGAGTCTGAGATTAGAGAAAGACATTGAAAGATCCAGATGATTTTAAGGGGAAGCAGAGAGAATGGAAAAGAGCCATATAGGTAAGAGCAGAGGAATAAGAAACATGGTGGGATGTGGGGTTTTAAGGAAAAAGGGACCAGAACACAGAAGGCCCTGACCATCTTTATAAAGAACTTGTGTTTAATTGTCTGAAATTATGAAATTACTGGTAAGTTTTATAAATGGGAGAGAAATTCATTTCTTGCCATTCTCTCTTGTCTTTAGGCATGGGCACACCCAGTGTCTTTAATCATGAACCCTCTGCCTAAAATGTTCTTAATCCTCCTTCTTTTCTTAAAAAGCACCTGCTGTTAATCCTTCAAGATCCAGCTCAAATGCCACTTCCTGGGAACATCTACGTCCTGTTTTCCCACATCCTCAAAAGTAGCCAGCACCCAGATGCACAGGTCCACTTAGTTCTCTGTCTGTCTGTAGCAGGACTCATCATTTGGCAAATGTATTGCAGTTTGTCACCACACATTTCTCCCTCCTGTAAGGAGAGGTTCTATCTTATCTCCAATCCTACTCACACTGTGGGTACATGGAACACACCTGAGTGCATGGTAGCTGGCAGCTAGCTGTGTGCACAGTAGAACAGAAAAGGAAGCACTGGGAGGAGAGTTGTATCACAACAGTTTAAGAGAAAGTTGACAAGTGTAAGTTGAATGGGAAGGGACAGGCGAGAACAGACATTTCAGCACTCGGAAAGTACAACAGGAAGGAAGGCGGACCCTGACGGGTCCAGCTGGGCTGGCTGAGAGTGGGTACATCATTAGCCACAATAGGAAAATAAAGGCAGAAAAGCAGATGGGAAACAAGGAGGGAGGGAAAGAAAAGGAAAAGAAAGATAAAGAGTTTCATTTCATACCTGCTGGGTTGGAGCCACATGAGATTGAGTTTCAGAGGAACACCTTAGAAGGAACGTCCAGACATTAGCAGGAAGAAGAAAAGATACCAGCCCCAGACAGCTGGTCAAGACAGGAAACAATGATGTAGGAGTCATTTGTACAGAGAAAAGAATCAAAGCAAAGGAAATCAGATTGTTCTCTAAAAGTTTATAAGAAAACAGGTTTTAAAATATGACTTGGGCCGGGTGTTGTGGTTCACACCTATAATCCCAGCACTCTGGGAGGCCCAAGGGGGTGGATTGCTTGTGTGCAGGAGTTCGAGACCAGCCTGAGTAACTGCGAGACCCCCCCCCCCCGTCTCTAAAAAAATAGCTGGGTGTTGTGGCAGGCGCCTGTAGTCCCAGTTACTTGGGAGGCTGAGATAAGAGAATTGCTTAAGCCCAAGAGTTTGAGGTTGCTGTGAGCTATGACTCCATGACACTCTACCAAGGTGTCAAAGAGAGACTCTGTAGCCAAAAGAAAGGTATAACTTAGAGATATACTTAGAAGGTCATCAGTTAATCTATTCCTAAGGATAAGCTCCTGGTGACCTACCTGGATGTCTGGTCATACATGTACTCCTCAGCCCCAACTGAAGCACTCCGAAATTTCTGCAAAATGCAAAAGTCGTCAAAACTGAAACAAATAGCCAAGTCATCACACCATAATAGTAATGTATGTATTCCACATTTTCTCCTTTCATTAGAAAGGAAAATTATATACTTTGGGCATTATATTACCATTTCTTCACAGAACTCACATATCACTTGCTCACCAAGAGCTACGCTCAACTGTTCGTGCTTGGTATGGTACTCATGTGTGCACAGGTGTGTTACTAAAGTGTTTGAGGCACTAGAAACTATTTTCTCAAACACATAAAATATCTCTTCCTTTTTCTATTGTCTCCAACATTTATTCCACGTTATAAATTCTGAATTAATGGAACAGTAAGTATTACACAGAGCCCACATAGCCAAAAAGCAATCTAGTAGAGTGACTGGGAGCATCGTTTCTCCAGCTATAGTTTCTTGACTCTTCTTGTCTAGAGTCAAGTTCTACCTCGCTTACCTGTCACCTGTGTAAAATGAGGTAAATGCTATGTTTTCTCCATCTGTGAAATGTACTCATAGTAATTAGAAGAATTAAATGGGGTGAGAAAGTACTAAGAATAGTGTCTGGTACATAACGAACACTGCATACATGGATAAATACTATTATAGAATAATCATTGTGCCATATTCAGAACCCTTTTCCAAGAACCTTCATTATCACAGTATTGTAAGAGTAGGGTTTGAGGGGGGAAACTCTAAGTTTAGTATCTCACCTAAAGAAGTGTGGTTGTAGAGATGTTCAATTGTTACACCTACAGTGCAAATAGGATGCCCTGTGCCACATTTAGAACCTTGTTGAAAGTAAGTGACCAAAAGCCCTGACGCTTGCTCCTAAAGGGAATATATAATAGGATATTGGTGAAAAAGCACTTGGTTGATCACACGCACCTCGTCCTTCTATTGTAAAATTTTTTTCAAGTGTCCTTTTCTCCTGCCTCTCATTTCTGTGAGATAAACTTCCATTCCTTAACGAGTATTTCAAGAGTTTCCTTCCACAGGAAGTGGTTTCTCACAGTTATTTTTCAAACGTCTTCACAATCCCTCATCACTGTCTCTAGAATTCGGGATACCTTATATCACAGTTTACATACATATTTATGATCCTTCTTTTGATCCACTCTTATTCCTTGCATCCAAGCAAAGTTTACCCAAATGAATCCCATGAACATTGCATATACTTGTTGACTTGTGAATAATCACAACAGAGAATCAAAGGAACAGATTTGTATTTCTTTTGCACTCAATCTGTCAATCAGCAAAGCATTCAACAGGAAAATTCTGGGGCTTCACCATCTGCTTGGTGCCAGAAGAAATATAAAAGTACATAAGACATTATCCTAACCTCAGAGCAATAACAATTGGTTAGGGGATAGAGTGAATGCCTATGAAAAACAACAACAAAATTATAACACAACCAATAACTATATGTCAATATCGATGCAGAATTATTCATCCATTCACTTATGTGTCCTAACTAGAACAGCAGAGAGTAGGCATTGGCAGAAAAGGAAGATCAGTAAAATATGGGAAGATTTCTTACAGGTTATAAGATTCACCCTGACCTTTGGAAGCTACAGAGAACCTGGATTAATTGAAAGAACTGAGTGAAAATAATTTAGGCCAAAGATGACCCCCACAAATGAAGACAACACAATGAGTGCTTGTGGTGTGTGCCTGGGGCGCAGGCCCACCCTGACAATGAAGGGAGGATCTGAAAATCTAAGTCTTTCTGCCCAATATAGCAGCCACTAGCTACGTGTGCTAGTAAACACTTTAAGTTCAGTAGATTTAAATAAAATAAAAAATTCAGTTCCTCAGTCAACTAGCCACTTGTCAAGTACCCCATGTGGCTAGTGGCTAGCATAAATGTTCTTGGGGCTGGGTGAGGTGGCTCACGCCTGTATTCCTAGGACTCTGGGAGGCCAAGGTGGGTAGACTGCTTGAGCTCCTGAGTTCAAGACCAGCCTGAGCAAGAGTGAGACTCCATCTCTAAAAGAATAGCTGGGCATTGTGGCACATGCCTGTAGTCCCAGCTCCTTGGGAGGCTGTGGCAAGAGAATTTCTTGAGCCCAAGAGTTTGAGGTTGCTATGAGCTACGACATCACAGCACTCTACCGAGAGCAACAAACTGAGACTTTGTCTCAAAAAAAAAAAAAAAAAAAGCTCTTATGAACAAGGCTGACTTCGGAAAGGAATTTACACTTAGTATAGCTGGAATTAGTACATTTTGGAGTAAAATTCTGTAGCATGATGAAAAAAAGGCATTGAAAGAAGTGACTTTGAGATCTGCAGAAAATTTTCAAGGTCTTCACCTGAAGGAATAGGCAGTAAACTACAAAAATCATGGTGAATCAGCATTACCAAACATCTCCAGAATGATTTACTGTCCATACCACAGAGCTCTGCAGCCTGAGCATGTGCTAGCCTACTAAAGCACGCTGGATGTATAAATCCTACAGCTACTGTAATTACCCGGGCCATGTGATAAGGTGTGGTACTGTAAATCTGCAGACTCGGAGAGACTGTCAACTATTACACAGGCTGAAGGAAACACCTAATCCTCCTCCATTGCCTGAGCTCCTATGAGCAAGAAGTGTGAAAAAAACAAAAATAGCTGATATTTTACAGGCATATTATAGGATATTGAAAATGAAAATAGTTGATATATTACAGGATATTACCTTTTCTCAAGCTTAAATTTTTTTCTTTAATTCTGTTCTATTATCTTTAAAATTTTTAAAAATTAGACTGTTCACCTGCAAAACATCACAATCCTTTAGATGAGATCTGATTACACTGATGGATTACAAGGCCCTAAATGATTGAGTACTAAGAATTAAAACTAATATGCTTGGGGTATTCTGGCTACAGTTATCAAATCTCTAAAACTGCTTAGAGACCTTTTAATATAATTTATTGGGTGAGAAAAAGCAATCAGGCAGCCAACATCACCACACCTTACTGTGATTTGATATAGCATGTCTATAGATCTGGAATCAGAAAAAAAAAATAACAGTAAAGAAAGTGATATGATGACACATATTTGATAGATTTCTTTAAAAGGGGCTTAGACATTAGGCAATAGTAAACATATTTAAATCTGAAATATTAGAATTCTAGTGTTTCCTTGGATAAAGGAAAGTAAACATCTGATAAGAATCTACTGCAAAAAGACAATGATTCTTCAATGGTGGGAAAATTATATATTAATACATTTATGTATTTGATTAGCCACTGATTTTTTTTGATTCTATCATTCATTCATTCACTCTTTCAACAATGATTTACCAGACATCTATTTTATATCGGGAACTGTCCTGGAGTCTATGGATACACTGGTGACAAACAGAAATCCCTGCCCTCATGAAGCTTCTGGTCTAATGAGGAAAAATATTAGCCAAACAATTTTCCATTTAAAAAAAATTACTGTGTGCCAGCACTGTGAGAAGAGAGAGTTCCATGAGAGCACATCATATTCATTTTCTACAAGAAGGTGAGAATTGGCACCCATGACAATCAATCTTGATGCTCCTAAAAGAGTGCAGTGTTTCCAGGGGAACACAGGAAAGGCCAACAGAGGGCAAGCCATGCTTCCAACCAGCCCCCGAAGACGGTAAGACAGCTACAAAAGTGAACAGCATCCCCTCTTTCTAGTGATTGTGGCTTTCTTTACAAAGGCTTCCTCAGCCCCACCTTCTGAACAATGATTACTGAGATACCAAGGTTCTGGTTATTGCTATGTTCTGACGGTATCCAATCTGGAGTTGATTGTCACTTCCATAATCCCTCCTAAGACTCAGCCACCACAGGACCAAACAGCATGCAGACTCCTCCCAACTCTCCCTGACAGAGATGCTCATACAGGTCCCATGCTGAGGGGGCTAAATAAGTGTAATTTTGACTTCAGATTTGTTCATGGAAATCTTTGGCTGGTAGACTTGGACAAAAGAAAACTGAGTTTAGTAGGAAGTGAAAAGAGAATATAGAGGGCTTCCCTAAGGAAGTCACACAGAGGAAGTAGGTGATAAGGAATATTCTAGAACAGCATAGCCCAATATAACTTTGTAGGGTGATGGTAATGTTCTATATCTTCACTGTCTATAATGGTAGCCTCTAGCTGCATGTATATATAAAATGTAGTTAGTGGAACTGAGGAACTGAATTTTTAATTTGATTTCTTTTTCATAATCACATGTGGCTAGTGGTTACGGTGTTGCACAGCTCAGTTCTAGAGCATGGACCACCGTGAATGAAGGTCCTGAGTCAGGAGGGAGGATATCAGGTCCACAGAAGTGACTGGAGCTCAGAGCCAAGCCCAAAAGTGTGAGAAGAGGAAGGAGGGCATTTGAGAAGCAGACTCTGCAGTGTCTTGTGAAACTGTGAATATTTAGAAGATCTCAATCTAAGAGCAGCGGTGGGGAAAAATGATGGATGACATGAACAGATTTGCATTTCCAAAAGACCATTGCAGGCACATCACATAAAAGCAGATGCAGCAGTATTAGAGACCAGAGAAAGTGATGCCCTTGGTCAGTATGGTAGAACAATGGAGACAGACGGATGGATTTCAGAGATCTTAAGAATGATAGAATTGACAATGAATGAGATGGAATGAGTGCAGAGTAGAATGTCAAGAAAACATTCTGGTTGCTTAAGCAACTAGAAGATGGCAGCACCACTTATGAAGGTGGAGAATACAAGGGAAGATTGTAAGTTAGATTTTGGATGAGAGGAAAGTCAAATAGGCTGTTGGATATAAAGGTTAGGAGCTCTGAAGAGGACATTAAGCTGGAGAAATAAATTGGGATGTCTTTGGGACACCAGTGGTCACAGAAGCTACAGACATGACACCAAAAGCATCTCAAAAGGGAAGAGTGATCAACAGTATCAAAGGGGGCTGCAAAGTTAAAGAACAGCTTTAACAGAACTGGGACTTTCATAGCCATCCTATGCATGATGTGGGTAAATGACCACTATGAATCCAAATAGTGGGTCATTCAATAGAGTATTATCAAATTTGACTACGCGTAGAGAAACCCAAATGCTCCTAAAATATTAAATGTATATGCTAGGTATTTTCCAAAGTTTTGCTTGATGCCAAAAAAACACAATAATGCAGTGACAGAAATTTGGTCATACTATGCCCACCACATCATATGTTTAGGATAACCATAATAGAATTGTGTGCATGAATCACATGAGGCTATGTTTCAATTTAGTAGATGAATCAACATTTTAAGATTTTACTCTTTAAATGTGTATGGGAAAATGGACTACCAGTCATTAATCAATCAATCATGGTGGAAAGGGTTTAGATCCAGAATTGCTTCCAGCTTCAGTCTACTGACGAATATAACATTAACACACCACAATACATTTATTGGATAACACCAAATAATCATTTTTTGCTTTCATTTCAAGATTCCTTCCAAACTATGTCAAGTCAATTCCACAAATAATATACCTGAAGTTAAATTATGAAATACATAGTAGAGCTATGTGATGCTCACTCAAAAATAGTTCTCAATTCCTGAGCACATGGAAAGACTTAATTTCTCAGCCCTTTTGCAGTTAGGATGATCATGTGACTAGTTCCAGCCAGTAAAATGTGAGCAAAGGTGATTTGTGCCGCTTCTAGGTCAAAGTATTTACAAGTCATCTTATCTCTGTGACCTCTCCTCCCCTGCTAGGGTGACACTGGAAGCCATATGTAAAGAGAGAGGCTAATGTCACAAGATGGAGGAGTCCTGGATTCCTGAGTCACCAATTGAAAGACAGCTGCCTGCAGATAAACATTAGCAAGAAATAAATTTTTATTGTATTAAATCACTGAGCTCTTAGTTTCCTTTATTACATCAGAAACTATGGTGAAGTGACTTACACAAAACTTTAGTACAGAATAAGCAAATTCTTCTTTTCACTATGTGATTTTTTTTTTTTTTTTTAAGAGACAGAGCCTCAAGCTGTTCCCCTGGGTAGAGGTGCCATAGCATCACAGCTCACAGCAACCTCCAACTCCTGGGCTCAAGTGAATCTCCTGCCTCTGCCTCCCAAGTAGCTGGGACCACAGGCACCCGCCACAAAGCCTGGCTATTTTTTGGTTGCAGCTGTCGTTGTTTGGCAGCCTGGGCTGGATTCGAACCCACCAGCTCAGGTGTATGTGGCTGTCTCTGTTTTTTAAATAAAATCTCTTCCATCCCTTAACTTTTAAATGTTTCCTATGTAATATTTTTGGTCTTAACTACCACTCTGATTTCTATTTATCAGCTATACTCTGTGCTTAATAGCTGTGTGATCTTTGGCAATTTTTTTAACCTCTCTGAACTTCTGCCTCTTCATCTGTAACATGGGAAAAATAGCATCTTGCTTCCATAATTGTAATAGGGATTAGAAATAAAAGACATAAGCCATGGTGCCTAGAACAGAGACCTCAATAAATAACAGCTATCATTATTTCTCTTCATAGATATAAGCTTCTAAAAGGCAGAATACAGGGCAGCGTCTGTGGCTCAAAGGAGTAGGGCGCTGGCCCCATATACTGGAGGTAGTGGGCTCAAACCCGGCCCTGGCCAAAAACTGAAAAAAAAAAAAGGCAGAATCCAGGGCATGCCTCTATATGCCTTCTACTCTTGCTTTATACAATGCCTAATGCCTTGTATAAAAAATATTTGACAAACATTGCTACAAAGAAGATATAGAATAAAACATAAATCAAATTATTTAAAATTAATCTATTAAAGCACTTTTTAACGCTACCACTATCTTTTTTTTTTTTTTTTGCAGTTTGGCCAGGGCTGGGTTTGAACCCCCTATCCTCAGTATATGGGGCTGGCACCTACTCACTGAGCCACAGGTGCCGCCAGCTACCACTGTCTTAAAAAATCCCAGCCTAAGTCAAAGCAAACTGCTTTCTTTCTTTCTAACACACACACACACACACACACACTCACAAACAGTCTCAAATGGCAAATGAAATTTGTTTATTCAACAAGGGTCCTAGACAAAGTTAATAGTATGCCTATAAGAAGTACTAGAGTTTAGACAAATTTTCCTTCATGAAATTTTCTTGGTGAAATTACTCTGAAATCACTTAATCCTATAACCAGATGCCAAGGAGATGGCTAAAGATCATAGAAGATCATTCAATTTCATTTACATCTGGCTGAAATACAATATGCGATATAAACACCGACTTCCAAGATAAAGAGAACAGCTCAACCAAAATCAGTGGGAATAATCTTCACATTTAGTTTCTGGTAAGTTTCTTTACTTTCTCATCTACTTCAAAATAAAACCCCAAATACAATAGCTTCCTTTCCCAAGCCTCTTTATCTACAATACAAACACAACTGATAGCATGTCCCCCAAATAGCATGACGGTTCCGTTGACATTGGATCACATCCATACTCTTTTGTGCCTAATGGAATACTTCTACACTGTGTGAGAAATACCTACACCAGTGGCAATCTTTTAGTAAAAGACCACGTACCTCACACGGGATTATGGAGTGTTATTTTCAGTTATTTTCTTTTCCTACAGAAACACCCCCGACTACTTGAGGGCAAATCAAAGATTCAGCAGTACCAGCAACTCCACAAGATCTTCACTCAGTATGTTTGTTAACTATTTTAAGCAATGTGACACAGGAAGCTAAGGGAGATAACGTTAAGATTTTTTAAATTATTATTACAAGGACATTGAAAGTTTGATTGGGAAGCTACCAGAACCCAAGAAATATCACAGCCTCTTATGGGCAAGGAATTTATCATGTCTTGCTCGGGTCACTTCCTGATTTAAAAGAAAACACTCAGACTTGATGCTGGGAGTAGCAGGGCTGCCAGTGCAACTTGTAGGCTCTCATATACAAGAGCTGCTCTCTACAACTCTCTGCAGAGAGCTAGTCCCTGTTTATCAACCCTCTGTGCCTCTTCTCCTAGTCCCTAATACCTAAAAGATAAGATAATATCTAAGGAGAGGGACAAAGAACACAGATTTTTAAAAAAAGGTTTGAATGAGTCACGATCTTAAGCAATGGAACTACTGAGCATTAGAAGGCCCCACAGAGTCTTCCCTGAAAGTGTATAGGCAATGGTTAAGGACCTAGGTCCTGCAGCCCAACAGCTGGGGTTGAGTTCCACCTCTCTACTTACTACCTAATGACCATGAACACATGGATGCTCTTGGTGCCTCAGTTTCCTCGTTTAGAAAACAGATGACAGTAATGGTGCCTCCACATAGGGCTTTTGTGAGGATTAAATGAGTATATATCACTTAGCAGGATACCCAGCACATAGTAAGTGCTCATCAAATATTTATTTTAAAAAATATTATTATTAAGAGCAAGATCCCATCTCTACTAAAAATAGAAAAATAGCCAGGCATTGTGATACCTGTAGTATCATCCCAAGAGTTTGAGGTTACTGTGAGCTATGATAGCCATGGCACTCTATCCAGGGTGACAGAGTAAGCTTTGTCCCCCCCTCAAAAAAAAAAAATGATTTAGATATGAAATCTTAACTTCAGGCAGCTGCACTTGTCCCAAGGGCAACCAACTAGGCAGCAGACTGAAGGTATTAAGTTGCCACCACACTCGCTCCTCTTTAAAAGAATTAGAAACCATATATTCTCCTCTTTGGTCATTGTCTTTTACTGACCTGGGTGGGCCAAGAAATGGGGAGCCAATGGCCAACATCTCAAACGCAGAGGCACTGCTCCTAAATGCTGCAAAAACTGGACTCGGCCTAATAAAAACAGGCATTATGTATTCTGGGCCAAAATTTGGAAAGGGGACCCACAATTATGTCATTAATTGCTATGCTACAAAGATCTGAAGGCAATTAAATGGACACCACAAGATCACCTTGTCAACAAATGATGCTGGAGCAGCTGATATCCAGTCATACTGGATATAGAAAAAAGGTCCTCAATCCTGACTCCGTTAAAATCACCTTAAAATGGATCAGAAAACAACACACACACGAAAGAAGAAACAAGAGAGAGAAAGAAAGAAAGAAAAAGGAAAAGAGAGAAAATCATGTAACAATGGGTTGGAGAAAGACTTTCTAAATGGTACAACAGAAGCATAAACTATCAAAGACACAGCTGATAAGATGAACCTCTTCAGAGTAAATATTCCGGCGCTTAGAAACATGTAGTTAAGAAACCAAAAAGGCTAATGGACTGCAGAAAGCGAAACTGATGTATTCACATCATGTAATGAACTCTTATTAACTTAATAAAAAGATGAGTATTCAATCACACAAGGTTTCAAAGAGTACTATGGTTAAAGAAAAGAAAGAAAGAAAGAAAGAAAGGAAAAGCAATGGAAAAGCACCATCTTCAGCTCCCTACGTTTGAAAGGTTCCAAAGTAGAGTAGGTGAAAGGTGCAGACTTCACAAAATAGGAAGTTTCCCCACAAAGATCTCATCATTCCTCATAAACATTTCATTTTAAGACTAAAAAAGGTATCTGTCATCGAAGAGTCAAGAAAAATAGAAACATTCTTTCATACACTGACACACAGGTTTATTAATACCTGTTTAGAAGAGAGAATATCAGTATACCAATAAACACACTTAAATACATGAACCTAAAACTCACCATTTAATTCCTTTATCCCACTTAAAAAGGAAATAGGAAAAAAACCCAGAAAACACTATTAGCTAGGAGTAGTGGATTTGGGTTCCAGCTGGGGGGTGGGGGGACGCGGGGACTCACCTCCGCGGCCGCGTCTTTGAAGCCCTCGCTGTAGGTGCTGTCCGGAGTGCTGCGCTGGTCATCCTTCAGGTAGGTGCTGTGGGTGGCCACGGACGGCACATCATACTGCGTCTGTTCAAAGATGACCACTCGTTGCTCCTCCCCGTCTCCCCGGGGATAGGGCACAGGGGGGGCCATGAAAACCGGCGTGAAATCTTCAGCTTTCACCACGGTGATCCCGGACACCGACACAGGGATGATGGCCGGGCTCTCGGGGACGCTGGTGATGTATTGCTCCCGCTTGCAGTTCTCCAGATGGTCTTGATTTAGGGAAAGGTTCACTGGCACAGTCTTCAGGACTTGCACTCGGTTCTCCCCTCCACTCATATTACTCTGGGCTTCACTGGTGCCGAGACAGTTTCTGTGTGTTCAAATCCACCCCCCGCAACATGACAGAATTAGAAAAATCACCATTTATTATTTTTACGCCTAGTAAAATAACCAATGTAGACAGTGATAAGTGGCTGCTAATTCCGGTAGGGGTTGACTAACTTCACAGGGAAATGAAGGGGATCTTTGGGCCACTACAAGTGGGTGACCTCAATGTGAAGTACTCAGCCCTACTGCAATTTTATTTTTATTGTCAAATAAATAACCCTAAATCTTATCACACCTTTAGATCTGACATTCAGCTCCATGAAAAAGAAGCAATCAGGCAAACCAGAACATAGCACACCTTGCTGACCTAAATATGTCGGCAAGTCAAAGGCATGTAGAAAGGAGAAAGGGTAGGAGGTTTGTTCTAGGGAAAGAGATTCAAAAGTCATAACAATCAACTATGATGAGTTGATCTTGTTTGGATCCTAAGTTGAACAAGCCAAAGAGGCATTTCTGCAGTAATGGGATTTTTTTATTTTTTATTTTTTTAACTTTTTTTAAAATTAAATCATGGCTGTGTACATAAATGCAGTCATGGGGTACAGTGTGCTCGTTCTATATACAATCTGAAATATTTTCATCAAACTGGTTAAATGGTTATCATGTCATTTTCTTAGTTATTATGTTAAGACATTTATATTCTACGTTTAGAAAGATCCACATGTACCCTTATAAGATGAACCATAGGTGTGGTCCCACCCATCACCCTCCGTCCACCCATCCTCCCCCCACCCCTCCCCTCCCTCTCCCCTTCCCCCATATTCTTGGGCTATAATTGGGTTATAGCTTTCGTATGAAAGCTATAAATTAGTTTCATTGTAAGGCTGAGTACATTGGATACTTTTTCTTCCATTCCGTATCTCAAGTAATGGGATTCTTAAGGCAAATAAATATGGATTGGGAATTAGGTGATGTTAAGGAAGTACTGTCTGTTAATTTAGTTCAGGATGATGATTTTGAGCTTTTGTAACAAAATGTCCTTGTTTTTCGGAGATACAAATCAGAAGTAGTAAGAGGTGAATTGGGATGATGGCAAGCATTTATTTTAAATACTACTGAAGCTTTAAAAAAGAAAGAAAGGGAAAGAGAAGCCTGGGTGTGGTGGCCCGTGCCTGTAATCCTAGCAACTTTGTGAGGCTCGGGTGGGAGGGAGGGTTGCTGGAGCCCAAGAGTTTAAGGCTGCAGCTAGTTATGAAGATGCTCCTGCCCTGCAGCCCTGGCAACCTAGCAAGGCCCTTTCTCAAAAATTAAATAAATTAATCATAAAATAAAATAAATTTTAAAAAGTTTAAAAAAGGTTGACATCAAGGAGGTGTGATAAAAAATTATCATTGCTGAACTGGAGAATGGGATAGGTATTTGGGAGCTCATTATACTATCCTCTGTATTTTGGTATATCTTTGAAAACTTTCTAAAAAAAAGTTCAAATACAAAAAAAAATGGTTAGGAGGAGGACAAATATGGTAATTTGAAGAGGGGAAGAATAGGAAGGATATTTTTCACCCTTCTGTGGGCTAAACTCTTTAAAGGAAAAAAAAATAGGACTCTAGCATTAAAATATTTTTGCCAATTGAGAAAGAACATGAGCTCCTTGATACCCTTAGCATTCACTGAATTCCCTTTGTGGCTTAAGAAAGTGGTATAGCTTGGGCTTATGCAAAACAAGATCTCTCAGCTCTCAGAGAAAGGAGAGTGTTGAGGAAATTGACTCTTGAAAGCATTTTACTCTACTGTAGTGTTTAGACTAAAACATTCTGGAAGAGAGCAGAAGCAAAGAGGAACTCATCAGTAGAAGGTTGTTGTTGACCACAAGCGATTTTACTAGCAAAGTCCCTCTGGTCAGTAAAATTTCTGAGGGCCTCCTCTTACTATTGATGGATCGCTCTGACTAATATGGAGAGAAAATGCATGTTTTGCATGGATCACAGATGGCTGGGTTTTTTGTTTACTTTTGTTTTTAATCTCCAATGTGCTTTTTGAGTCCTACCAGCGTCTCTCACAGAGAGACATATTAGACTAAAACTGGTTCCAAGAATTAGGCTCTCTGGCTCCTCTGTGTAAAGAAGGAAGTCTGTTAGCCTCTGAGCTTGCCTAACGATCAAGAAAGATTTGATATTTTTAGCTTTGATTTTTCAAACGAAACTTCAAAGTAAAACTTGAGGAAAGAATGGCTCCATATGAACAAAGCCAATGGAAAAAATTATCTAAACTTCTCTGAGTCAGTCACAGATCTGTAGAAATAATTCTAGAAGATAATCTTCTAAGGAATGAAATCACAAGTCTACAAACTTTCTGGATTTATGTAATGACCAGTTTTCTTGGTTAAATCTGTACAGCGACCCTGTCTGTAAGACACAATGAAAATTTAAAAATTACATTTAATCTGAATCCAGTTAACTAGAGGATGCCAAAACCCAGACCACCCATTCACATTAGCATTTCCTAACCCCCACTGTTCAGAACACTGTATGGAATGTTAATAGATAGTCCTCAAAAAGAAAAAGGAGTCCATGATAAGATCAGTATTAAAAGAAAAACAAAAAGAGTGCCATAACAAGACCACCCTGGATAGCTCACAAACACCATGAACACAGTCGAGGTCCTCTAGCATTCCTTTGCCTATTTAATCAAAACCCAGAATCTCCCAAATTCATTTCACCCAGATCCTTTTGTGGAGGAATAACCATTAATACTTGTGGATAATATTGCCAAAATATTCAAAGGGAACCAACTTCTCTATAGTTAGAGTCCATCTGGGGGCAAATTTCTTCTTTTCCTTTCTTCCCTGCCTCCCTCCCTCCCTCCCTCCCTCCCTTCCTTCCAGGGCTGCTGGCTGGAAGAACGTCCCTTGCTGCTAGTCACAGAACAAGATCATAATGTCATAAGTAGTTCCTATCGGCTCAGCGCCTGTGGCTCAAGCGGCTAAGGCGCCAGCCACATACACCTAAGGTGGCGGGTTCGAATCCCCAGCCCGGGCCCGCCAAACAACAATGATGGCTGCAACCAAAAAATGGCCAGGCGTTGTGGTGGGCGCCTGTAGTCCCAGCTACTTGGGAGGCTGAGGCAGGAGACTCGCTTGAGCCCAGGAGTTGGAGGTTGCTGTGAGCGTGATGCCATGGCACTCTACCCAGGGGGATAGCTTGAGGCTCTGTCTCAAAAAAAAAAAAAAAAAAAAAAAAAAAAATAAGTAGTTCCTATCAAGGCCAGGTAAGTTGTGACTACCCTATGTGCCAGCAAGGGGGTTTTATTTCTCCTGCTGTCACATTCCTATATGGCAAAACCTCTACCAAAAAACACTTGGGCTTATCTGCACTCCACTGCAGAGGAAGAGATTTATTGATGGGTAGTTGAGAGAAATAGCTGAACAGGGTGGTTCAGACCCTCTGGTCCCCTCTTTTTGTCTGGATCATTCTAGCCAAAGAGAAGAGACTCTCCCTCTCGTCACCTCTGCTATACCACAAAGGGGCAAAGTCCTGCCTGGAGACCACGGAGGTAGACTTACTACGTCAGGGCTGAAACACTACAAGTCACATTCTCCACTTGACTTTGTTAGAATTGAAGCTGTTTTTGTTTTTCTTTATTAATCTCAATTTATCTGACTGTGTCTCGCTTTTCACTTGGTTCTTGCACAACACTCTCCTGCCATCCTTCCTGCCCTGCACTCTGCGGTGCTTATGGCTCTCCACCGGCTACCTCCCTTAGCTGGAAACAGCCCAACCTCCTTCCTTTCTCCCGCATCTAAAGCAATCCTTCAAGTGTCTCGCTCCAGCAAGGGCCTGATCGCAGCTATAAAGCCACAGGATTGATCAGAAAAGTCAATCCCAGCACTGGGCTGTCTCGTCCCCTGTCACCACCAGCCTGCCAATGATGCTGTGGGTACACAATCAAAAAATGCAATTTGCCCTCCCATTGAGAGCTCTGACTTTGGTCCAGACTCCAAAAGACTGACAGACTGGACTCCATCTCCTCTCAAGAACAAAACTTATCGTTTATTACTGTTGTTTTCAAAAAAACACAAATAGTTATTTGGGGGCCGGCCACATTCCTTTACCTACCTCTTATCCTGGTCTTCTTGGCTGTCACTTGCTTTGCTCATAGACAGCAGCCTCTTGTCTCGAGGAACCTGGAACATCACAAATCATCAGTCAAATTTACACGGATGCCACTGTGACCATGCTCAGAGCTAGACCCCAGCATAAACAAAGAAAGGAACATGGTATGTTGTCCAGGAAAAGGTGGGAGATTTGCTTTCACAAGGAGATGGCGAAAGGTGAGTGGCCTAAGAGACAGTGACTGTGGAGCCAGAAACAAAGGGATGGTGACAAATGTAAGGGCCACAACAGATATATGTATTTGGCTGCTCAGTGCTGACCTGGGTGATATTCTGGGACCAGAGTCCCTCCCACACCCTGCCTTCCGTGGGAGAGAGTGAGGGGAAGGGAGCAATGGAAGTGAGGATGAATCTGGACCTGGAGCTTCTGGGCAGACGGAAGCCTCCCGATGTTACCACAGGCATCACGTCAAGGAACAGGGACTGACTTTCCTCTCTGATAAGGGATGTCCAGTGCCAACTGGGCCTGGGAGGGACAGGCTCAGAGCTGCACCGTTGGCCAGTGAGGGAACAAGCATTGAATACAGCAGCACCAACCTTCAGCCCCTCCCTATACTGCTTTTCTAGTACACTTCCGTTACGCCTTAACAATCATCATGCCAACAACATATTACCTGAGAGATTATTGAAAAAGTGCTACTTGAGAAAAGGGCACCCCACAGGCTGTGTTTCTGAGCATGGTCTAACCCCCTGCCTGCATCACGGACACTTTCCTCTGCCGTGGTTTTTATACATATGAAGAAGGCCTGGATATGTCTGCCTGGATGGATTTTTTTGTTTGTTTGTTTTTTTGGTTTTTGATAAATGTCCATATTTTCCTTCTAGCCAAACTCTTTTATAACCAAGATGTAGCCTTTATCTTTTTGAGATGGAAGCACATTTCTGAGAAGTATCTCCCTACTGACTCTCTGATTTCCAGCCACCTGACTATGCACATAGCTGGACAAGGCAGGGGACAGAGCAGGGGAGCTGAGTTCAGTCCCAAGCCTGCATGCCTGGGTTCACATCTCGGCTCTGCCACTCACTAAACTCTGTCCCACTTTCCTCTTCTGTAAAATGGGCATAATGATAGCCCCATAAAATTAAATGAGTCAATTTTTGGAAGCTCTTAGAGTGTCTACTACTTTCTATTTGTTAAATAAAAATAATTGTAAGTCCTGCATTCAGGTCAACTTTGAGAGTGTACAGGCATTGCTAAGTGCTGGATACAAATGAGGTAAATGAAACACAGTTGCCAGATAAACACAAAATGTCAGTACCCACAACACCCATGTTCATGGCAGCATTAGTGACAATAGCCCCAAGGAAGAAACAACCCAAGTGTCCTTAATAAATGAATGGATAAACAAAATGTGCCATATTCATACAATGGAATATTATTCGGCCTTAAAAGTGAATGAAATTCTGATATGTGCTATAATATGGGTGGACTTCAAAGAAAATAGACCAGACAGAACAGTGGATGTAAGGACAATCCACTTACATGAGGTTCACAGAACAGTCAAATTCATAGAGACAGAAGGTAGAAAAGATTGCCAGAGGCTGAGAGAAGGGGAAAGGAAAGTTACCACTTAATGAGTACAGAGTTTCTGTTTGAGAAAATGCAAGTTTCGGGAGGTGGATGGTGGTGATGGTTGCACAACCATGTGAATATGTGTAATACCACAGAACTGCAGACATAAAAATGGTTAAAACGGTAAATTTTATGCTATGTATCTTGTACCACAATTTTGGGAAGAAGTGGGTTTCTAAGGAGAAGATCCCGCCTCCCAGCTGCTGTGCTGGAGTGTTACCATCCTGCCCCCACCCAGCCACCCACCAAGAGGCCACTTGGCTCCTCTCCTAAAGTATAATTATTCCTAATAGTGCATTAAAAAAACTCAACACCCAGTGATACAAGGTAAAAATAAGCTGCACACAGGGCCCCTGGAAGCACAGTAGATGAGTTCCCCAGAGGAACTGAGCCATGTGTGGGAATTTTTCAGGTGGATGGGGAAGGCTGTCCAGCCTCAGAAGCTGATTACAAAGAGGGCTTGGGTGGGGGGAGGGTTGGGCAGAATAAGGAAGGCATGGCCTGTGCAAGGAAGCAGTCAGAGCACATGTGGCTTGAGATAAGCAAAAGCCAGATGAGAAAGGGCCTTGAACCTGGGTGAACGTTTTGCTTCCTTATGGTTCCTCTAAAATGCAGTTGCTGTGGCACAGCCACGTTCTCCTTGACTGCCCAGCATCCTGCACCCTCTCCCCTTCCAACCAGAAACCCCTGTATCCCTGAAATCCATCCCTCCAGCATTTCTTGCCTGGGCTGCTGCATCAGCCCCTAATTGGAATCTCCTCTCCCCCACTGAATTCCCACAAATCCCTTCTGGATCCAGACTGGTCTTCTTAGAAATGCAAATCTGCTACTTAAAACTCTTCAGCGTTTCCCATTATTCCCAGTCCCTTAGCCTCCCCAAAGTCTCTCACCTAAACATGGTACCCCTGGGCTTGCTTACCACATGAAGGCCACACTGTATTGATGAGCACGCAAAGCTCCTCTGACAATGGAGCCATCACATAAAGTCTTCCCTATCTAGACTGTGTCTCACTGCCCCCTGCCATCACCACCCAAGCCTTCCCCAGGCTGACTCATGACAATACTTCCAAGTGCCATCTCCATTTCTGTGTCCACGACTAGACTGCATTCTCCACAAGTGTCCCAAGGGCCTGAATGTAGTAGGCCCTCCCAAAATACTTATGAATACTTATGATACTAAATGAATCAATCCATCAAAATGGCCTGGAAAAACTAGAACCAAAGAAATAGAATAAATAGGGATGCCAAACACTAAAACATGTCAGCAGCTCCCAAAGAGGCATAGAAGTGAATGTAGTTGTTACCAAGAGTCACTGGTAGAGCTCTGAGCACACAGCTGTGTTCGATCTACAGTGCTGGGTGGTCAGTAACCTTTGGGTTTGCTCCAATCTGGGCCTCTCTGAACCACATTTACCTTTGGCTTTGTGGACTGTCTTTAGGGGAACTGAAACCTCTGAACTCAGTCTCCTCTCCCAAGTCCTAGACCTATAGTACTGTTTATTACACATCCCTACTCATGTCCTGGGAGCACTGCAGACTCAACTCACAGTCATCTGTCCCCTCAAAAGCCTTCTTCTGGCTAGATGCCCATAGCACAGTGATTACAGTGCTGGCCATATGCACTGAGGGTGGTGGGTTCAAACCTGGCCCAGGCCAGCTAAACAATAATAAAATAGCCAGGCGTTGTGGTGGGCACCTGTGGTCCCAGCTCCTTGGGAGACTGAGGCAAGAGAATTGCTTAAGCCCAAGAGTTTGAGGTTGCTGTGAGCTGTGATGCAATGGCACTCTACCCAGGGCGACATAGTGAGACTCTGTCTCCAAAAAACAAAACAAAACAAAATAAAACCCAAGTCTTTCTTCTGCACTCCCAACCATGATTATCCAGGAACCATTTAGGCATCTAACTTCAGGTTATGAGTTACCCATCACCAATCACCATCTCTCTCTCTCTCTCTCTCTCTCTCTCTCTCTGTCACACACACACTAAGTTGTCAGCTCTAATTCAAACAAATGCTTAATGATTTCCTGAATAGAATTTCATCTCTATTAGTGCCTGTTTGGGTGGCTAATTTAGAGAGAACTCTCACAAATGCCCACCAGGCAATCCAGCATCATACTTTATCATACTTCAGGTCTTCAGGGTGTTTTTATCTGGATTTTAGCAATTGACTGTTTGTTGGACTCTCTGCCACCAGCCCACCTCTGTTGTTGCTGCTGCTGCTATAATATGTATGATTTCTCCAATCTACAAGGACTAGGTTGAAAGTCCTGCAGTATTAGAGGAAACAAGGCCACATATTATGATAAAGGATTACAGACATTTCATTTTCTTCTTTAAACTTATCTGCATTTTCTGTAATGTCTTATATAAACTTAAAATGAAAAGTTGATACATCAAAACATCAAATTGCTTACCTTAAATACATACAATTCCTATTTGTCACAATACCTCAATTAATCTGGAAAATAGACAAACTGATTTTTTAAAAAAATTAACAACTTATGAAATATTTATCAGGTGACTTGTTCATTCACTCCTTCTGCAGAAAGCAAGACCAGGGACCTAGCTCTGACTGCCCTCCGGAGAACAGAGCCGAGCCCTCAGCCTGGCCTGGAGGGACTCTTCCAGGGGGAGCTGCTGCTCCCTTTTGGCCCACAGTAACCCTCTCATTGTCCTTGGTCACCCTCCCTAGTTCAGCAAAACTGACTACATGATTCCACTGAGTACAACCTGAGGTTTACCCCCCATGTGTTCTCAGCTCTTGCCTAAAATGCTCTATCCTCATCTGTTCGCATGACAGACCTTCCCCTGCTCTGTGGTAGAGTAGGTATCACTTCCTCTGTTCCTATGTTCTACTCCTGGAACATATCCATTTCACAGCACTAACCTCTGGGCACTGTGGCTATAGGTTTAGAGGACAGTGGTTTGCCTTGGACTGCAATTTGCAGTGACCTCTCTGAGGTACTTAGCAGGGTTTCACCTGCCTTTGGAGGTCCAACACACCAAATCGTGGTAGTATCTACCACCACTGCTGGGAAGTTGTAGCTAATTCCCTGTAACAGGGAATATTTGTTGGATGAATGGATGGATGGGTGGATGGATGGATACATGGATAAACAAACAAATGTGTCAATGAACTGGTTTCCAGCTATACCAGATCATCACAAAGAGAGGAATTAACTGACCCAGGGAAGCATATTTTCACTACAGCTGGAACCAGATGATCACAAACCACCCGCTCTCACAAAAGAAAAATAAAAGTAGATAAAAGATGTCAATCTGTCACGTTTTTCCTATTGTGCCTGAAATTCACAGAAAGTTCACATGACTTTGGAGCTGCTATTGGTAATTAGCTTAAACTGGATAGAGAATTAGATTAGGATTGCCCCTTATGGGAGGGAGATGTTATTAGGATTTATTAATAAACCCCTTTTAATTAATAAACAACATATTAAGCTTTAAACGTCTATTTAAAATTTTGTATTCAGTGGTGCCCATGGATCAGTGGTTAGGGCATCGGCCATATACCCAGGCTGGTGGGCTTGAGCCTGGCCTGGGCCAGCTAAAACAATGACAACTGCAACAAAAAAAGAAAAGACAGCTGGGCATTGTGGCGGGCACCTGTAGTCCCAGCTTCTTTGGAGGCTGAGGTAAGAGAATCGCTTAAGCCCAAGGGTTTGAGGTTGCCCTGAGCTGTGATGCTACAGCACTCTACCCAGGGCGACAGCTTGAGACTCTGTCTCAAAAATAAAATAAAATAAAATTTTGTATTCATTTTTAAATGGGTTCAAGAGAGGGCATTTTTTTTAATGGTGGACATTGTAATGCAATGACGATTAGAAAAACATACAGGATTGTCCTGTGATCTTAAATTCCACTCAGTTGCCTGAACTACACAGTTTAAAACTTGATAGTCCTCACTACAATGATGCTGAAGTGACAGTAAAAAAAAAGTGAAGAGACCTGCAAATTTCAAAAGCACTATGCAACGATATGTCTTTGCCAGTTTCCAAGGACAGGGACCACTTTTCTTTAGTGCCTATTTGTGTCACAGGGATGTCTCTCTTTGGACAGAACCCACTACTGTCCCCTCAGAGGGAAAATGGTGTCTTTGACAAAAATAATCAATTCCCACTTCCAGAGAGGCAGAAAAAGTCTACACAATCTAAATAATAATGTCACAGCAATTGTTACAATAATTTAACTTCCCAAAGTTTATACTCAAAAGACAATATTGCTATTTTTCATTAACATTTCACTTCATTACAGAAAGAAGTTCTACCCTCAAAGAACATTCAACTTTGTTATCACTTAAACACTAATGTATATAAGCTGTGAGCATTCAGGAAACAGAAAAGGACTTCAAAATGATCATTGAAACAGGCGGTTTTTTGAAACAAGACTCTTCCCACAAACAATAAGATGTTTCAAGCAAAAATACAGCAACTGTGTGAAATTTGTGCAAAATGAAAAGAGCCATGTAAGTCTACTAGTTCACGCAGTCTTGGAAAATATTAATTCAACAGAAGGAGTTATGGGGTAGCTACAACTTGGGTTTTATATAAACTCCAGCCAGATGCGGTGACTCACCCTGTAATCCCAACACTCTAGGAGGCCCAGGCAGGTGGATTCCCTGAGCTCAGGAGTTCAAGACCAGCTTGATCAAGAGTGAGACCCCTGTCTCTAAAAATAACTAGGCATTGTGGCAGGCGCCTGTAGTCCCATTACTTGGGAGGCTGAGGCAAGAGAATCACTTGAGCCCAAGAGTTTGAGGTTGCTGTGAACTGTGATGCCATGGCGCTCTACTGAGGGCAACAAAGTGAGTAAATGTGCCCTCTTGCACAATGTAACACAAATGTTAGTAAATGTGCAAGAGGTGAGGTAATCTAGGTACCACATTTACTAATACCTAATTATCCATATTTCCCAATACTTAAATGTCTTCTGAACCTATGAGAAATAAAATACTTTATTTCATAAGGTACTAATTATGTTTGTCTTGGAGTATGCTTCTCTTTTTCACTAAGACAAAGAAAACATTGCCATGAAATTCAGATACGTGAAATTACGTCCATTTCACAGTAACAGAATTAAAGGTATTTGGAAAGAACTAGAACAATATCTTTTTTCTAAATATGATCAACATATCTCTTCAAAGTCTTATTAAAAATATTAACTAACATATTAATTTAAAATTGTAAAAGTTATCCAATGTACTCAGCCTTACTATAAAACTAATTTATAGCTTTCACATGAAAGCTATAACCCAATTATAGCCCAAGAATATGGGGAAAGGGGAGAGAGAGGGGGGGAGAGGGGGGAGGATGGGTGGAGGGAGGGTGATTGGTGGGATCATGCCTATGGTTCATCTTACAAGGGTACATGTGAATCTTTCTAAATGTAGAATATAAATGTCTTAACACAGTAACTAAGAAAATGACATGAAGGCTATGTTAATAAGGTTTATGAAAATATTTCAGATAGTATATAGAACCAGCATACTGTACCCCATGACTGCATTAATGTATACAGCTATGATTTAATATAAATAAATAAATAAAATAAAATAAAATGGTAAAAGTTACAAAAAGAATTTATAATGAACTGAATAATTAAAATCAGGGTCATTTTAATGATGTGTTTATAAATTTTAAAGATCAATAAAACTGCTAAGTTTTGACTATTTTTTTAATCATAAAAGAAAATTGCTTTTCAATTTCCTTATAAGGATGAGATATTAAAAAGCTGAAGCTTTGGTAGCACCTATAGCTCAAGTGGCTGAGGCACCAGCCACATACACTAGAGCTGGTGGGTTTGAATCCGGCCCAGGCCTACCAAACAATGACAACTACAACCAAAAAAAGAGCCAGGCATTGTGGCAGTCACCTGTAGTCCCAGCTACTTGGGAGGCTGAGGCAAGAGAATCACTTAAGCCTAAGAGTTTGAGGTTGCTGTGAGCTGTGACACCATGGCACTCTACCCAGAGCGATAACTTGAGGCTCTGTCTCAAAAAAAAAAAAGTTGAA